CCACTCACCTCAGCCTCCCAAAGGCGCGGGATCACAGGCTGAGCCACTGAGCCCGGCTCACACAAGGTTTCTTCAAGTTTTTGAATTCAAGTGTTTGCGGATGACCTCTTCAATTAGCTCCAGTCCCCACCACTCCCTCTTGTCCTGTGGCCACCTGTCTCCCTGCCTGACCTCAGAAGATCCTGGTTTGGGTCTCCTGACTTCACTCAGCCTAGTCCTTTGTCCTTTTTGTGCCTGTCAGGTAACGGGCGTTTGGGTGACCATGAGGATCACGGAACTGAGTCAGACCAGTCCTCTCCTCCTAACTCCCCACCCGCCGCCATCCTTGCCTTCCAAATCAGATAAACTCAAGTCAGGGTCCTCAGCCAGCTGTATGTCTTCCAGCAAGCCCTTCCTCTTCTCTAGGCCTTAGTTTCCCCAGGGGTCCAATGGGCTCCAGAACCCATGTCCACCTTCCAAGTGGGTTCTGAGGTGGGACAGTGGAGAGGAGTTTTCATCCCCGATTCCCTCTGCAGCAGAGCTGGGGAGCTCCAGCCCCGTCCCTTTTAAACATTCCTCTCAATGCGGAAGAGGAACCCCATGCCAACTGTGATGGTACTGCAGCCACAGAGCTCCACAATGATCTAGTTGCATGTTTTATTATCATTAGGATGAGTGTCATTGAGAAGGGGAGGGGACCCAGAGGGCTATATACAAGCCACGACTTCCAGGGCGATGTTTAAATATTCCTGCACACATGTATTCCCACAGCCACCACACAGTGCAGCACCACAGGGTAGCTCCACCTGCTTCCCCAGCAGGACACAGCTGTGGTCAGGGCTCTGCCCACCCACAGAAGGATGCCCTTGGAGCGGAGGAGAGCCTGGGTCAGGGTGAAGTTTCCACATGGCAAATCCGGCCACAGGGGACAGGGGATGGAAGCTGGATTTGGCATCCCGGTTTCAATCCCACGCCACCCTCACGGGCTGCCCTCCCCAGGGGCTCCCTGGCCCTCTTTGGGAATCCCTTAGAAGACCTAGAGGGACCATCTCAACCAGGGTTAAGGAAGGGGAGCAGGCCTGTTGGGGGGGGGGGAACAGGCACTCTGGGATTTGTCCCTGTGGTCTGAAGTGGGGGGAAATGAGGTTTCACTTCTAGGCTGGCTTTCTCGTGTCCCTGGAAGCGGGCAAGGCCAGGACCTGCGATGCGAGTGGCAACAGGCTAGGGGGCCAGGATGAGGTCAGGGTTAGGGTCAGGGTTCTACAGAGGCGAGAAAGCAGAGGCCATGAAGGGGCAGGGCACACAGGCAGGGCAGGGCTCAAGACATTCTCAGACACCAAACTTGACTTTTCGAGACAACTGGGTTCACTCTGCCAGGGGCTCCCTGACCCAGGCCTCCCGCCTCCCAGGATGCTGCCGCTTTTTCTCAGGAGCCCCAGCAGGAGGCCTGAGCAGGAGGCTGGCTAGACCACAGGTTCCTTGAGGCCCACACGGGCCTCCCAGGGCCCTCTTGCCCGGATGCTGGCGTTTCTCAGGCACCAGCTCTTCCTCTCTCTCTTCTTCCTCCTCCTCCTCTTCCCAGCTCCTCTGGAACTTGGGATCCACAAGCCGTCTGCCCGGATGCTGCCGCTTGGTGACAGCATACCCAAGCCAGGAGGAGTGCCGGCCAGGATGTTGCCACTTGTGCTGGGTTGCATTGACCAACCATGAAGCCTCATCCTCCCGTCGGCCGGGGTGCTGCCGTTTGCGGGGTCCCACAGCTCCCCCTTCTTCCTCTTCCTCTTCTTCCACTCCCTCTTCCGCCTCCTCCTCTCTTCTGCCTGGATGTTGCCGCTTGGAGAGCCAGTCGGGCTGGAGGGTCTGGGATTCTGGGGAAGCAAAGAGGCCTGTGAGGGACCCCTGACCCCGCGACTGTCCTCACTCCACAGCCTGAAGGTCAGGCAGATTTCCAGCAGCACCCACCCAGAGGCACGGCCCTGCACCTGCCTCTCGGGCCTCAAGATGCAGGCACTCCCCCCTGGAGTCAAGGCCTGGCCTCTGGGTTCCAATCCCAGCTCTCCCCTCCCTAGCTGTGTGACCCTCAGCAACTCGCGTGATCTCTTTGACCCGGGGTGTTCCTCTGTGGGTCATGAGGAAGAGCGAATGGTGTGGTAAGGGGTTTGGACTGCTTGGAGGAGCGCCTGGCATAGGAGTGCCGGCCAAAACTGCCACGCACGCAGAGCGCTCTCTCCCCAGCACGCCGACGCCCCCCCCAAGGTCTGCTCCCGGTGAACATTCAGGGCGGGGCCGCCAGGTTCCTGAGCTTCTGAAAGGCAGGAGGCTGCGCCACCAAGCCGCCGTCTCCCCC